TAGCCTTTGCAAGTAAAGTTTTACCGGTACCCGGAGGTCCACTTAAAATGGCCCCTTTTGGTATTTTAGCTCCCAACTTTTCATAAGCTGTCGGATCCTTTAAGAATTTAACAAATTCCATGATTTCCTCTTTGGCTTCATCCATACCCGCCACATCCTTAAACTTGACTTTAACTTCCGTTTCTTGATTAAATAATTTAGCTTTAGATTTCCCAATTCCAAAGATTTGTGACCCGGCGGCACCACCAGCTCGCCTAGTAATGTAAAACAATGCCCCAGCCAGAAGTAGCGTTGGAGCAAAATGTAATAATGTATTCAATAAACTAATCTCATCATGATATGCTACCGGAATACGTTCCGTTGAAGGAATACCCAATTCTTTTTGAGCAGAATCTAATTTACGTTCAAATGCCTCCACGGATCCTATACTGAAATAATAAGTTGTTACCGGTAAGGAAGGAGCATTTGGATACATTTGTCCTGTAGCATTTGAATGTAAAAATACTCGAACTTTTTTCCTATTGACCACCACCAATTTATCCACCAAACCTTTATCCAAAAATGTCGTTCTGAATTCTTGCCACGTGATCTCGCGAGAATTATCAACACTACTGGTAATCTTGTACAGAATGTAAGCGGAAAACAGAAGTGGAAGCAAAGTATTGGAGTTCAATTGCATGCTAAATTCCTTAACATTTGGAGGTTGCTTTGAGGATTTTTTTTGTTGCTCACCCTTATTATTATTATTATTATCATTATTATCAGATGTCGAAACTTGATGTTTTATCCTTTGTGAATTTTTATTAAAAAAATTCTCAAATCCTTTAGGAACTTTAATTTCAGTTTCACTATCACTCTTTTTTTCTTTATCAGAATTCTTATCCCCTTCATGATTCTTATCATTTTCCTTATTACCAAGTGGTTGGTTTGTCTCTGTAGCATACATTCTTATAAAGTTTTGTTTCTCAACATTGAAAAAGTTTGTACTTTTTGCTAGATTAAACAAACTACTTTTGTCTTTTCTCACTATAGAATTGATAGTTTTAGAAGCAAGGTAAGAACAAGACCTAGTTAAATAAATCCCTTGTTTTAATGAACCACGGAAACAAACCGCATTATTTATGCAAATTTTAAGGTGAGTTCCTCCGGCTCGAGCTATATAAGAGCTCATTTTCTTCTTTTTATTCGAAGTATTTTTATTCGATAAATTAAAATAAAAATAAAAAATAATAGTTAAAATGACAAAAATTAACAAAGTGACGTCTCAAGAAACCAAAATTTTTATATCTTAAATCGTGTTAATCTAAAAAAATTTGTTTTATCTTTAAGAAATATTTCAATGTATGTTATCAATCGAGTTTTTTTTTTTTTTGATCAAGGTGAAGAAACGTTTAAAAAAAACGATTGCTAAGCCATCTGATCAGCCAAAATATCAAATATTAACGTTATTCCACGTGACTTAATTTAATATTTAATTTGTCACTTCCTTTTTTACAAGGTTGGTGTTAAATTCTGTGTCACACATAACATGGTACAGATTAATAATGGTTATGGTAAAACCGGCAAAATAAAACCGGTTAACCATTTGTTCGAACGGAGCGGAGTTATCGTTTTAACCTCCAAGCATAATCTCAATGAAAAAAAAAAAAAGGTTAATTCGAAATGAATCAATTATCAAATTTATCAGTGATCACCGTTGAAATATATAAATGAATAAATTTCAGCCTCACTTTTTTTTGGTTGAAATTTATTTTCGCTTTTGCAAAGGTGAAAATTGTATACAAATTCTTGTAATTTCGTTAAAATTCTACTAATATAAAGACTTTAGTTAAGTCGGATGAAACGAGATAAATGGAACTTCCAACTTTTTATTCATATTATCGTTCTTCTTGTTCTTGGCGTGTTCGTACAACTTTGAATTGGAAAGGAATTGATTATGAAACGATTCCAATCAGTTTAATAAAGGATGAACAAGTGCGTGTGATATGAATGAAGTGCGATTTGGAGATTAAAAATAAGCTTGTTAAAAATTCCAAAATTTCTCTTTAAAAGAAAACACCAGAATATAAATCTCTTAATCCGTTTCAAGTTGTTCCAACGTTGGAAATTGATGGAACGGTGCTGACTCAATCTATCGCCATCCTTGAATACTTGGAAGAAACCAGACCAGAAAAGCCTTTATTACCGAAAGACCCTATCAAGAAAGCCTTGGTATGAATATATATATGCATTACACACAAAAGAAAGTTTGCAGATAATGTTCGTTTGCTTTTTTTAGGTTAGATCGTTGGTTCAAGCGATTGCGAGTGATACGCAACCCATCACTAATTTGAGGGTCATAAAATACGCAGGCAAAGAAGAATGGCCTAAATATTGGGTGACGAATAATTTTCAGTGTAAATAATTAAAAAAATTTTATTTTTATTTTTATTATGTTTGAGAGAATGTAATCCTTCTTTTGTAGTCATAGAGGTTCAACTTGCTTCCACGGCAAAAGAGTATTGCGTGGGCGATGAGGTTACACTTGCAGACGTTTGTCTTGTGCCTCAAGTTTACAATGCTCTCAGGTAATCGTCATCGGATTATGAATTACGTGGTCAATTTCGAAATATTTATGTGGTTATTTATTATATTTGCAGGTGGGAAGTAGATATGACGAAATTTCCGATCATTCATCGTATTTACATAAAGTGCTTAGAATTGGATGCATTCAAGGCGGCTCATCCTCATAGACAAATTGATTGCCCGAGCGAGTTAAAAGAAATTTAATTTATCTATTTCTCGGTAAAAAATTTTTTTTTTTTTACATTACTACTTTCAAATTATACATGATATAATATATATAATATATACGTTAAAATGAAAAGTTTCAATAAAGTCTAGTTCATTTTGGTAATACGCGGGGTAAAATTCCAAAAAAACCACATTGTTCTTTATATGGATAAATATCTTCCGTGAAATAAAAAAGATTATACAAGGTTACGACGTGTAATGATCGAAACCTTTTTTTAATTAAAAATACTAAATTTCGGAGCGAATAATGAAATGCTATAACGAGTAAACAACCATTTGTAGAAAGGATTTCCTGCAGGTGTTATGATATCATTTAACATGCTAACATGCTACAACGTAAACATTTCAAATCCCGACATTTGAATTTATAGGATTGTCTCAAACACAAAATTAAAACTGGAATTCCTTTAAAAATCGTGGTATAAAAGTAAAATATAACAAGAGTAATCTCGTGAAGCGAATTTTGTCTGATACGAAAGCGAATTTTCCGGTGAAAAGATTAACGATTGGACTTATCAAAACGTGGTGGGTGACTCATTCAAAAAAAAAAAATATATATATTTTTCCTATCATCATATCGCAATGCTGATGATTATAATGATTGGAATGATTGGAAATGTTTTATGAAGATCGATACAATCAAATTTTTTTTTTCTCAGTTTCTTGCACGTGGACTGACTCAGAAACCATTGTATACTGTAAAAAAAAAAATTTTTTTTTTTTTTGAGAACATTTGACGCAAGAACCCCACGAAATTTCGTTTTCTTTGCTTATCAGTCAGCATTTATATATATTATAAGTACCCATGAACACTTTCCATGAAAGGATTTAGGATATATGCCACAAATCAACTATCATGAGATCGTACATAATTGTATGCTTTCCTAAATGAGTATTCTAAATACCTATCATTGCTGAAATTAATCTGCATTTCAAACTACCCTTCTCATTCCCTTACTCTATCTCGCTTCGATAACATTGATAACAAATTTAAATGTATCATGTGGCGAAGTGCTCTTATGTTTATGTAGTTACCCGGTATACTATGCCATATTAGCGGCGTGTGTCACGTAAATTCAGTCAGCTGTCAAAAAAAAAGACTTCACGGTGCGTGGGTACGGTAATTGCGATATCATGTGATACTTTAGGAGAGAACAAATTACAAAGCGAAAGTAGCAAAGCCAACTGAGGCTGTCAACCATGTATGCTTTCACTTTTATTAACCTCAAGAATTTACTCTCATTCTCATTCGCTTGTGATAACAATGATAACAATGTGAAGAGAGCAAATATTTATTTATTTGTGATAAATTTCTGCACATAATGGATTATGAGCCCCCGCCATTCGTTTTCTCCCCAAAAATGAAACGTTTCCCCGCGCGTGCATCTAGTTAAAGCCACGCTTAACTGTATTGCCTCTAGCTAATAAAGTTGATGGAAGCCATTCCTTTTGATGCGCGTCAACCTATATCTGATATGGTATACTATTTACAGATCGGTTATAATCATGTTTGTTTTTTCGGAATATTCAAAAAAAAAAAAAAAAAAAAAAAAAAAAAAAAAAACATTAGTTCAGATTACACCACTCCTTAAAGTCATTTGAGCTTTTTCTTGTCTTAATTCGGTTGGGATTTTCACTACCAACCTTATCGGAACACAAATTGGTCACCTGGGTGCGTTTTATCTGCACGTTATCACTTTCCTCATCATTCTTTCGTTACACTCAATTTTATCACTAGAATTTCAACACCGAGCACTGTTCACACATACAAACAAATCCAATTTGTTAATAATTAGTTTATGCAGTCAAGTTTTCAATAAGCTTCATCATAATTTGGCAATGTCGATGGAATAAATATAAATACCCTTTCTTCTTTGCCATTGTTATAATTTCCCACACCATTTTCTTCTTTTTTTCCGTCCCTTGAAAAAGTGAAGAAGGCGGTATCGTTAGGTGACGCATTAGTACTGAAAAGTAAAAGGAGTGTGTCGGCTCTTCCCTTTTTTTCTCAGAAGAACGGAACGACGGACCTTTCATAAAGACACACTATCAAATTTACTTACTTTTCATTTCCTTACTATATCACCAATTGTCCTTTTTTTTTTTTTATTACAAACAAATCTTTTTTAAATATTTTTTTTCTTAAAAAAAAAAATTATTTTTGACGTGTGTTCCTTTACGTATATTTATCCGCTTGCTGATTCGAAATGGATCTTGACTGGTGCCTGATTTGTGAACAAAAGACCCAGGTAAAATATTGAAACCATTTAAATCATTCTTAATCGAATTTATTTGTTCCCCCATCATAATTGTTTTCTCTCTAATCACTTTTTTTAGGGTACCCTTTACTGCAGCGAAGAGTGTAGGTTTAAAGACTACCTTTCGGCGTACTCTTCACTTACGCCTCCAGCGTCGCCCACTTCTTCTTCTGGTTCTTCGACGCCAACTGATAGCAGTAATGCTTCCATCGTTACAAATAAGAGTTTCGTGTATCCTTTCTACCGAAAGCCATCTCCATATTATCAACGGCCTCCAATGATCATTAACATAGATAATCTTAGAGATAATACAGCTATATGTGTTTTACCTCCTCCTCCTGCAATAAAAAAGTCACATTCTGCATTAAATTCCACGATTGACATGGCTTCTAATACTCACGTTTAAATCAAAATTCGCCTAAAAAAAAAAACAATTATCCAGTCCCGATTTCTTTTTTTTTTTTTTTAAAAAAAAAAAAAATTTCGAATCCTATTTCGATCCATACTTTTTTTTTTCTGTTTCCCTTCGAAATTCTTTAACGATCCTCGCTTTACTTTTTTATTTTCGATACTTTCTCTCTACTCGACGAATTTCAATATTATTCTTATATATTATTCATCGCCAACGATAAACAAAAAAACAAAACCAACCACTATTTTTTATAGCAAACATTATTTATATAACAAAAAAAAAATTGATCACAACCTATGAGGAAATATAAATTTCTATGTATTATATAAAATCTTATATATATTATAAATATTATTCAGGTAAAAAAAAAAAAAAAAAAAAAAATCAAAAAATCAAAAAAAAAAAACGGAAAACGGAAAACCAAAAATATATAAATATCACCTTTTGTACATTTTGTAAATTTTTCTTTGTTCATCATTTATGTGAGTTTCCCTTCTCTTTTTTTTTCTCTCAATTGTAACTTTGATTCCCTTTTTTTATTTCTCTTTGTAAGAAAATTTTTTGTAAACTTTCCCCTTGTTTTTTTAAAAAAAAAAAAATTAATTATGTATAGCTATTTTTTCTTTTTATAAATTTCTTTTTGATTTAATGTTTTATATATTAGTATGCCCCCCCCCCCCCCTTTCTTATAAAAAAAAACAAAACATTCATTTAAAACCAAAAAACAAAAAACAAAAAAATAAATTTTTTTTTTTGAATAAATAAAATGGAATTGGTTCTTTATAAAATAAATAAATAAAATAACATATATAAATATTTGGAACTAAAGACTTTTTAAAACGGGAACTTTTTTTTTTTATTTTGTAACTTGATCAAAATTTTTTTTTTTTAAAAAAAAAAATATGATCGCGACGAAACGATCAAAAAAAAATTGGTCCGAATATACACAATAATGATTAAATGATTTGTAATTTAGTCAATCTTTCTTACCGAGAATAAAATAAATGATCACCCGTGTAACGAGATGCGCGCACGAAATGCAACCCTTGTAACCCTTGGGTCATTCTAGCGCCCTTTCATTTTTTTGATTTTTCATCTTCCTTTCATTTCTTTCTCTCATAAACAAAAAAAAAAAAAAATGTCAAATAAAAGCAATACTTCAGCAACCGTATTAGGACCTATAAACTTTTGTGTTGGCATGTATTTTTTGATGAATAAGAACGTGTAACTTTTTTTGGTTCAACTTGACAAAATCATAAACTAAAAAAAAAAAAAATCGTTATTTTATTTTTTTTCATTTCATTTTCATTTCATTTCATTTTTTTTTTACTTTTTCGATCTTTTAGATATTTTGGTTGGGGCACTTTCTATATTGAAACCAATATTTTCAATAATATTGGCGGTCTACCTTGGTTGGGTTGGAGTGGTATTTTTATCAGATACTTTTTATTTTCAACAAGATCCTTCTTTATTAATATGTAAGATTCCAATTGTATCATATATCCCATTATGTCAATCCCCAATACCGGATTTCTCAAGATTGGTTAATAGACAAGTAGAAACCTATGAACAAATCATGGATCAACAATTATCATATAATGGTCCATCATCATCTTTAGCATTGGATATTAAAAAGGCCGAATTGGCCACGGCGGATTTGAGAACCTTGATAAAATATTCCTCTTTAACCACATCAAATGAATTAGTTGACAGGTTAACAGAGTTTGTAGATAAGGCAAGGATCGTTGGTAGAAGTTTACAATTGCTTCAAGCTAGAACGAGAAGTTCTTTAGACAATTTGATTACTTATAATTTATTTGCTTTAAAAGCGTTAGAAAATGTTAGGGATAATAAAGCTAGTTCGAAAGAATTGGCAGTAGCTTATAATCAAATGATGTCCCTCATCGAGAGTGATTTAAAACGAATGATCTTGGTCGGTCAAGATGCGCTTGGAAGGTAAACAAAGAAAGTGAACTTTAAAAAAAAAAAAAAAAAAAAATGCTTTATTAATTCGGTTTATTTTTTTTTTTTTCTAGTTTGACAGATCTAGATGAAATGTTAATGTCAATACATGATTTGGCAACGCAAGAATCAACGTATCAAAAAACCGAACATAATAAATTGTTGGCGGATTTATGGTCTAGATTAGGTTTTAATGTAGTGAAAAAACAAATATTTCAAGACAACCTTGAATTATTAATCGATTTAGATAGGCAGCGTCGTTTGGCTGTTTCACAAGTGCAAACTACTTTGTACAGTTTAACCTCTTATCAATTAGATATGGAAGAATTGCGTGAACATGTTTCTAGACCGAGTATCATCGAGATGCCGGTTGAATTACATATCGAAAATGTTGGTAAAGGTATTGAAAGATTAAGACATAGTAAAGTTGCATTAAAAAGCGATGATGATACCAGGCACTTTAAATTAATCAGTCAATCTAAAAACGAAGACAACACCATTAAACAATAGATAGAATATATAGAGTTTTAACTAGATTTAGATTATTAAATGTTTATGTAAAAATTTATTTCATTACTATTCTTTTTTTTTCTTTTATTTATTTGTTTATATATATATAATAAATAAATATACAAATTAAAATAAACCAATTTTTTTTTTTAAAAAAAAAGAAATAACAAAAAGTGTTTATAATACATTCATTGCACGGTAAAATAATTTTAAATCCAAATGATCTCTCCTATTCTATAATGTCAAATGTAAAGAACTCTTTTTTTTTTAAAAAAAAGTCAAAAAAGCAAATGTTCAAAAGAAATTTTACATCACAAACTTCAAATTCATATCCATTTCATGTGATCTACAAAAGAAAGTGGAATTTTTTTTTTAGAAAAGATCAAATCAAATCATACGCCAACAATTTAAGAAATACTTACGCGCTTAATTGTGGTTTCTGAGAGTATTTCGATGCAAGGATGTCTCTAACCAAATTTAACATCTGTTGATACGAAATATCCTTATTTGCTCTCATTCTGTATTTATTATAAGTACATCAATTAAATCATTAACTCGAATAAAATGTTGAATAAATTTTTTTTGAACGGAAAAAATATAACTTACGTTTTGATTAAAGCAAAAGACATGGCTCCAGTGTTCATCCCAGCTTCATTTGTATCTGCAGATGTCTGAGCATCTTTACACCCACTTAACATTATCACGTCAGCGGGACTTGATTTAGTTTGTCTATTTTGTTCAGCAATACTCTTTCCTGACGTTGCCCTCTTACCAAATGACATCAAACTTGTTTTGATACCATTAAGATCTCCCCTCATATATGACATGCCAACGCTTAAAATAGTGTTACCCCCATCCGATAAAATATTTGGTTCCTTCACTTTTCCTTGAGTTGAATACATATAAGGTAAGTCAAGTGCTGTACCGGAATGGCAAGAATCAAATATAGCTGTCAGCCTTACACCAGGTGGAAGCGGTTTCACCATGATATCATGCATGACATCATCAATAATCTGTCCCTTCGTTGTAAAATCCAATGGCATAATGGTCTCATCATAACCGTCTTCCTCATCTCCATTTTTATCCTTCTCTTGACCTCCATGACCACTGAAATGGAAAAAGTACGAGTCATTTGGTTTTGCATCGTGAACTAACCATTTCATTGCTTTTAAAATATTATCCTTTGTGGGAATTTTTTGTTTATCTTTTTGATCATCCGTTAAAATGACCATGTCCTCTTCTCGAAATCCATACAAATCAATCAAGAAACTCTTCATATTAGCTACATCATTTATACATCCTTTTAATTCAAATTGTGTACCAGTATAATTGATTCCAATTAGTAAAGCTCTCTTAAGACCCGTGCAATTCGATAATTGAACATTTGAAGAAGGTTTGACATTAGTATTTTGATACAATGTATAACCCGGAGGTGGTGTATGTCCGGCGCTAGGACGTTGCTCAATTGTATTTGGAGGCGGTGATGAATATGTTTGAGGAGGAGGTTGATATTGTTGATTTCTTGGAGGTTTTTCAACGGAAGGAGGTCCTTGTGTTGGAGGATATGGAGGTGGAGCATAAATACTTTGCGTTGGAGGTGGAGGATATGAAGGCGCATAACTATCTTGTCTTGGAGGAAGTGGTGCTTGATCAGCATTTGGTGGTCTTGAATAACCTCCTTGCGAAGGCGGTGGTCCTGAAGGTGGAGGATAACCTCCTTGCGAAGGTGGCGGTCCCGCTGGTGGAGGATAACCTCCTTGTGAAGGTGGTTGTCCTAAAGGCGGTGGGTAACCTCCTTGCGAAGATGGTGGTGGGTAACTTCCTTGTGAAGGTGGTAGTCCTAATGGTGGTGGGTAACCTCCTTGCGAAGGTGGTGGTCCAAACGGTGGTGGGTAACCTCCTTGCGAAGGTGGTGGTCCAAACGGTGTTGGGTAACCTCCTTGCGAAGGTGGTCCTAATGGCAGTGGATAACCTGGTGGTGGTCTTTGATAGTTACCATATCCACCATATTCGGGTGGATACTTCTGTTGTGGTTGAGGTGGTGGTTGAGAAATTGAATCATCCCGCTTTCCGTACTTTTCTTTATATGTTCGTCCTGGGTAACCCATCTTTTTTTTTTATTAAATGAAAAATTTTTTAGAAAATTCTCGCTTATATAATTATTTGATTTTTTGATCACAAATCAAGTTGTGTAATATTCATCATCCAAATAAATAGATCAAATGAAGCCGCAGCCACCCTTTTCAGGCCATGCGCCAAGAAAATTCCTATGGAAATCACATGGTTTCTTTCAGCCACAGGAATCATTGGTTGAATGTTCAATGCAAGATGATCATAGTGCCACAAATAAATCTTATTTTCAATATTTCTCGATTTTTAATTAATGCATCGCGAACATCTGCCAAATACAGCGGGATCAATGAAACTTCCATCTATCCTTTTGGATGCGTATTCGCCTCACACGTCCCTGCTCAATAAAACATGCGATCTGGTGCAATCGAGGCGCCTTGATTGCCAGATATTCCAAATGCTCGATCCGAATAACTTTGTCCTCTTCACAGGCACATCCTTCACATTCAATCCATGGAATATTATGTCCTATTGAAATCAGATGCCATAATGTAATTTCAATATACACACATAATTTAAGAAACCTTCCTGGAATAAAACTGTCACGCCTGGAGATCACGAGGTCAATTTTTTTTTTCTTTTGTTAAAAAATACGTATTTCGGATAATATGACTAATCACAGGCTTTCACAAGTAATCCCTGAAAGTCCAACCAATGGTCTGTCAATTAGTTCCTATTTAGGTTTTCGATCATTGCCGATGCAAGACATCGGTTGTTGATGAATTAATTAATTATTCAGAAAATAATACTTTCAAAATACGCTTAAAGCCAAATACACTCCCTGGCCAAAAGTTTAGGACCACCCCGAAATTTGCGAAATAATCGACATTTAACCCTAGTTAATACATAATTAACTAAAATAAAATTAGAATTTTGTGTAATAT